GGCTAAAGGTGACCTGTTATGCTGCCTTGAATAGGTTAGGACAGGTCTATTGGCTTCAACACATGTTTATTACTGAACACGTTTTGTAGCCCAGTAGTTCCAAGAAAAGTCTGCAATTATTCAACCACACAGGTTTAAAAAGCAGAGGAGGAACCTCCTGCACAACTAACAGCAATGCAGAAAGTCGTTTGTTGATGGTAATTTAAGAACAAAGGTCTTATCTATTCCTGCAGCCACTGTACAGCCTATACAGTGGTAAAACCAGCTGACCGAATGTGCTGGAGCTTTGGTTGCTAGATGAATGGTATTGAATCAGGGTCTATTGTTCAACATGGGGTGATGCGGTAATGAAATATGCCAATATTTCTCTACAAAGTGAGGTCTGTCTTGTGAAGTGCTGTCCAGTAGGCTGTCAGCATCGCATATTGTCTGTCTAAGAAAGCTTAGCTGTTACTATAAGGATGTGAACTTACGTGAAATAAGCTTGAGATAGTGTTGAATATTTGAAAGTCTCATTTTTAGGTAAGAAGTGAAGTTTTAATGTTTTAATTGCTACTTCTCAGGGTAATGCTGGTAGAAATGTTAACCGATAGGGAGAACAGAGGAGCCATGTTATGATGACTTTCTGAAGGTGGGGTTTCAGAAAGAGCAGGAGTTTTTAAAGAGACACAGATCCAATTTCAAGGTGTCAAATTTTGAAGTTAAATTTCTTTTAAGTCACATTTGATAGATGCAGCCTTTTTATAACACTGAAGGTAACATAGTTACATGACTGTGCTAATATATGACTATATGCCTGGTGATCACACAACACTGCCCCTTTAAACAAGCAAAAACAAATGTTTTAAATTCTAATTTTGTTCACATAATTCCAGTAATCAGTATCATCTAGTCTGATGGACTGGATGTATGGCTTCAACTTTAACTATGATAACACATCCTAGACCAACATAGAACCTGTTCTTGATAACAGAAGACGTGTACAAAGTTGGATCCTGTCTGTCTCCTCATAACCTCTCGAAGCAATCCCAGTTAGAAAAGTCAGTAATGGTTGCCAAGACAGCAGATGAACTCTATGATTGCTGACATAAGCAATTTTAGAGAAGCTTAAAGCTTTTTCCTAAGTAGTAACAAACAAACCTGAAAGTCTCATATGGTGAATCCAAAAATGGATTTTTGTCAGAAGATGAAATAAAATACTTCACCTTCTGATTTACAGCTCTGAGTGATTCAGCTGAGCCGGCCACATGCTTCACACTGTGTCATCCACAATTAAGTCAGTGAGATAAAGGACAGATGACTGTGGAAGCTTTCAGATTCAGCCTTGCCAGCCTCCCGTCGCTGTGGCAACCAAAAGCCCGGGCAGCAAGGTCTGAGATGGGACGGCAGGAAACACAGGCCTTGTATGGTTTGCGAAGCAGATTTGAGGTTTTAGTATCGGCACCATCAGTGATGTGAGTCAGTCAGGTTTGCTCAGGTGCCGTGTGCACATAGACTCTCAGCCATCTGTCACAGCAGCTCCTGGAGGGTCAGCAATCTGTCGCCAAGTACAGCACAGTCAAAGTCGGCATGCAGCCTCATGCAGAAAACCTTTACATTAAACCCACAAGTCAGCACTTCCTCACATCAAACTGTCCTCTGAACAGACCCAATCCAGCAATGTTCTGGTCCCTGTTTCACATTATTTTGAGGGCATTTTTAAAAAATGGGACATGAATATATTTTATGAGCCTACATCACTGACTTCTTAAGCAGCAGATTAGTGGGAAGATGATTGTGAGGCTGACTCAGAATAAACCTAAATCAAACTGGCTTCTTGGATCAGGTTTGGATAGAAACAAAACGCTCACACACAATGACATAAGCTCCCATGTGTCAGAATGTGGCTACACAGGAAATACTTGTCATGTTAATCAGCCCTGATTCTCCATCAACAAAGGTTAGCGTTACACACAGACCTAAATGAGCATCAGTCCCACCCAGCCTCATTGCTTTGCTCTCGACTCTGCATCTTGTTTTGGTGTGTTTGTTCTGCTGTTTGCCACCATTCAGTCACTTTCTCTAAAGTTCAATGACTACTAAATATCAGAAGGTGCTTCTTCTTAATTTCTCATTACCACGATTACTTCCCTGAGTTCTTAGTTGGTGGCGCTGAAGCTGCATTTCCATTGATTACATAATTGCACAATTTGACATTTTGAAAATAAATTTATCTGGAAGCCTGCTAATTTAAAAAAAAGTCTTTTTTTTTTTTTTACAAAACACTATTAACTCTAAGATGAGGTGTTGTTTTGTCCACATGGAAATTGGTTTATTTTGCAAAACTGCAATGCAAAAACTTTTATTTTTGTATCTACGAGTCACATGATCAACAACAGGATGTTGCCACTGATGCAAACCACAAAGAAGACGACAACAGGAACTAGTCGGAGGATCACAGTGTCACGTGTTTTCTAATGACTTATCGCGTGAACAAGCTTATTCATGTATAAGTTTAACTGCGTTTCTTATTTAACAGAAATGGCAATGGCCAGGGACCAGAACCATCCAAACCAGCACAGCTGGTCCTCACACAGAAACGGCTTGGAAGCTTAACAGAGACTTCATTTTCTGCAACAACTAAAAAAGTCAAACCTACCAAAGGGCATGCTGTGAACTCTTACAAGAGATTCACTTTTTGAATTAAAACACTGAATTAGTGAAACAAATTAACTTCTTGATAATTTTGTTGAGATGAATCTGTATCTTGGGCGTAAGAGTCAAACTGTAATCCCAGGCTTGCTCTGGGGTTACAAAACATTATGGAACCTACAAGAGATGAGCAAAGACCTTCAAAGGTTTTTTTTGTGTATGTTTCAGCATTAGTCTTTATATGTGCTGTTCTCAGTGTTTCATTGAAGGTGCATCGCCTCCAAATTCTATTTTCTTTGTAAATGATTCAGTTTCTGTGGTGATTTGAGAGACGTCCTCCAGTTGTGACCCTTCACTTTAGCAAACTGCAATATAAGATTTATACTAAATGAAGACATCAAGCGTTACGCTCTACTGCATGTAAATGTTAAAAGCTTTTACATGCTTTTAGGAGAACCTCGTTTGAACACTTCGGACACATCTCAAAGAATGAAAGGTACCACTACACCATAGCTGGAGCTCTAAAAATCCCTTACAGCATGTACATTTTAATGATCAGTTCAGCATGTTGTTTGCAAACAGAACAGCAGAACTTCAGAACTTGATGCTAGGTATAGCTCTGGAAACTAGAGCTATACTTAACATAGGTGTATGTTAGGTATAGCAAAGTGGAGGTAATACCTTAAATATATATTAAAAAATGGTTGATTAAGAAAACCTCAAACCTACGCAGCAAGACCGTAACGAGTCACTTCCTCTGGCCTGTGCAGCCAGTGGGGCTAAAAGAGCAGAGCTGTGCTGTGATAACTTCATAAGCACCTTGTTTGTCACCTGCATAAATGTCCCTGAGGCCCCAGTAAAGCATCTCTAAGACGGCATAAAATGATTGCTAAGCAACTGTCACCTGGCAGCAGGCTCTTTTCCTCCAATTAAGGGATCAAACGTGCCCCCGAGGAAACAGAAAGCAACAGACGATTCAACTAATTGTGTGTGTCCACACAGATCAAATCATCTGTCTCACAAAGTTTCTACTGAAGTTTTTATGACAAAATCAAACCATTTACCAGAGTTCAGAGAATTTCCAACAATATACAGTATTTCTGTTGAGCCAAGTGTCGGATCACTGCAGAAGCTTTTTCAGAGTTCAGAAGAGTTATCCTCATTCTTACAGTTGGGTTTTGGAGAACGATCCAGGAACTTACATTGAGTGTGCTTAACGTTTATAACAGCTGACTGCATTCCATAGGAAAAACAGTACCTGCTTTGTCTTTCTTAAGCGCTCTTAGACATCTTTTTGGTTCTTGAACAGCTCTTGATTCTTTGATTCTTTTTGAGACTTGTTTGTCACTCAGCTTACAACATGCCCCAGGCTGCTGCTGGTTTGGTGAAATGATGTTCACTCTTCCAGATTATGACCACCAATAGCACTCAGTAGTTCCATTTTCATTACAAGCATGTGCAAAAAAACTAAATTTCGAGATTGCTGTTTCCATCAAAAACAAATTCAGTTGAAACCACACATGAATAAGTCATTAAAAAGCGCAGCACCATCCTCCTCCTACCACTTCCTGTTGTCTTTGTCGTTTTTGGCAGTAGTAACCTTCAGCTCTTGATCATGTGATGCAAAGAAAGTTTCATTTGCATTTTTTGAAAATTTAAAATTTTATACATACATACAGTTGAAAAGCCACCTCATTCTATCGCAAAATCGTTTTATCAAAAAACATGAGCCGTTTCAAAATTGCTGTGTTTCCATGAAATAAATTCATTTTTGGAATTCCAGGTTTTGCAACAGAAATGCAACTACTGAAACATTCAAGTTCCAAATGCAGCTGCCACTATTTATATCAATTTCTTCTGTTAAAGTAAAAATATCTGTAAAGGTAAATTAACTTTGACCAATTATGCCAGTGTGCAATACCTTGCTAATGAGAAACACCTTTTTTTATAGGCCACAAATTTATATCAGCCCAGTTGATGTTGACCTGCACACAGCAGCAGGAATTGTTTCGAAATACTTCCTGGATTTTATGGCTCCTTGAACATCCAGGTTTTCGGTACTTTTGATTTTCTTTTCTCCCAAAGAAATTATTTTGTCAGATAATTTTGCTTGATTTTTTTGTACTTATCGGTTACTTGAGTTGTTATTGGGTGTGAATTTGATCTCACTTGTCCAATTGGAAAAGGAAAAGAAAGTTGCGTTCAATACTTATTTTGTCTGTTATACAGCCAAGAAAATCATTGTTGCTTTTTAAACTTTTTAGAAACATCTATTTAGTATCCAGAATACTAAAGTATGAATACATATGATGATTGCGGCATAAACAGGATACACAGAAAATGTGCAGCAGAACTAAAGTCTGCCTTACCACTCCAACAGAAAAGTAATTGTTGATGATGCTGTAAGGGACAGGGTCGCCCTTCTCCTCCTTGTCATTACGAATGATGTCGATGTTCCAGCGGTCTAGTACCACCTCGGTGCTGTGTTCAATGTCCCGCAGGACTTTCATCAAGCTGCCGCCTTCATAGCCTGTCAGGACAGCCATACAGAATGAAAGGAAAAGAAAAAACACAACTAAATAATAGTTTGGTAGAAAAGCACCACTTAAAAAAAAAGTGGTTTTGTAAGTACATCAGTCAGTCAATTCGGCAAACTATTGTAAAAATCAAAAGGTTTGACTCAAGTCATACATTTTAAAAAACACAGTTCTCATACTGACTTATGTTTGTAAACTTTTGAGTTCAAATTAAAAAAAAAACAAATCCAAAAACTTTTTTTTAAAGTTAAACAATCAAACAACAAAAGACAACAACAAATCAATAGAGCAGTACTGATAAAAGAGGACAAAATATGATTATGCACATCAGTCCATAGTGCATAGCCACTTCTCTCACCAAGTTTTCTAGCATTAAGCAATACAAATTATTTCAGTAATTCTATCTAAGCTAAAACACACAAAAAAAATGTTTGACCTGATTTTACTTCAGACAGTAAGAAAAAAGTTTTTGTCTTTTTATTGACTGTATTTAAATATCTGTTTTTCAAAATCATTGAGATAAGAAAGTGGAAGTTAGTGAAAAGCCAGATTCCTGGAAGAGACCATCATTCATGGTTCCGTCTGTGACAGCAAGTCGCCTACATCTTGACCCACAGCATCACACTACTGCCACCATGTTTGCCTCTTAGAGTGATGTTGTTTTCTGAAAATCTGTGTGCAGGAGAAGGAGCAGGACTTCGTGTCAGTGACTCTGGTTCACAAGCACAAATCCAGACTCAACCAGTGTTTAGGTTGAACCATGATGCTGTTTTGACCTACTTCACTTTGTAAGAACGGTTTGATTTCAACGATTCTTCATTATTTTGCCTTTCTGGTTCACATCGGTACTGAATGTAGATTCTGAATCTGAGTTTTCAAAATAATTTTTTTGTAGCCAAGTCATGATTTAAGAAGGACAGCTTGGTTTGGTTATCACAGAATTTATTTATTGTTTCAGAATTTGCTGGATGATCTGAAATAAGTAAAAAATGGAAGAAATATATACGAGAACATGTATTTGTTCTTATTTTCCGATGATCCTGATGAGGGAAACATTTTCCAGACTGACCAGCGGTTTCTAGAGAGCCTTCAGAACATGATTCCAGGAAATGAAAAAGTTGAAAGAGGAAGCTGTTATGTCTAAATTAAAAACTTCACACACACACAAAGCAACTTGTACTGTAAATCCATTGCCTTGTGTTGATTAATCACAGAACCATGACCTTGTTATAAGAAAGCTTGGTTGTGACTACTTTATTGTTGCTGCTGGGAAGATGAGCCCAGCTCTTACTCAGCCTTATGAAAATATTATTAAGCTTCCAGTTCCAGGGGACTGAGGAGCTCTGCTGATCGGATCATCTTTCAGCAGCTTTCAAGGTTGAAGCAGATCAGGCTGAGCAGCATGCGAAGATAAGCAGTTAGTTTTTAGTGGAGAAAACAGTACAGTAGTATGTGTGTGACAGACCTAACCTGATAGAACCCAATTTAGTTCAGTTTATTTAGAATATAAAACACCAATTTACTACACACATCATCTCAAAGGGCTTACCAAAAAACTCATTTCAATCCACATTCAGAATAGATTCTAGTTATTAAAAGTTCAGTTCGTGTTCAGTTTCTTATTCAAGCTGTTAAAGAGGCAGTAATGTATTTTCCAGGCACCTGGTGCCATTTTATAGCACAATCAAGTAACTACATTACCTTCAGTTGTTATGAAAGTGATCTGCATATCAAATATGACTTAAGAATGGACTCCAATATGGAGATATCATTACATTACAGTAATCACAGAGTCTGAGGAAGTTCTCACCTCCTCCCCAGTGTAAACATCGTGCCAGGTCATTTCCTGTGCCAAGAGGGAGGATGGCCACTGGAGGCTGTCTGGTAAAGTTGGCCTTATCTGCAAGCAGGATGAAGACAAGTCAAACTCTATTGTGAGTGATGTGTGACACTGAAAGCAAAACCTTTAAGAAAATAAAGTTACAGTAATTATTTTGTAATTTAATCACCCCTACATGAATTGACCAGGATTGCAAAAATGATGTTGGTTAAAAACACACAAAGATAAGGTCAAAACACTGACGGAGCTTCCTGCCTTGATGGATTATTATTCCACAGTGGCAAAACAACTTTAATCTAATCTGTAATACCAACAGCAAAAATGGGATTATTGCCTCCAGAGGAAGCCTAATGCTGGACGTTTCCTGTCAAAACACATTGGCGTCTTAAATCAAGAGGTTAGATGTTCAGTACCGATGCAGTCGAGGATCCAGCCCACTGTGCCGTCACCTCCACAGGCCAGCACCCGGGAATCTGGGACATCATGGAAAAAGTTGAGTCTGGATGGAAAGGAGATCCGGGAGAATTAAGAGAATGCAGGAAATAGGTGGTCCACAAACATATAGTCAGGAGGGGAAAGTTCCCTAATTCTAATCACCAGATGGATTAGGAAAGCTGTTTACAGGTCAATAATCCGTTGATTGTGTTTCTTGAGGGATTTCTAAGCTCTGGATGATCTAATGAAGAAAGGCTGATGTGTGAGTGTGTGTCCTTCACTGGGACCCTTAATGTGTGTGGGGATACAGCTGCAGGCATAAGCGTTCCTCCTCTCTCTTCTTTGTTCAGCTGGCTTCAAAAGGGCCACAGGCCCCTTTCAAACCCTACATCCGGCCGGACCTGTCCAGAACCACAGCAGGACAGGTGTCACAAAGCAGGATGGAAAGCCTTAAAGGACTTATGAAGTTTGCTGCATCAGCTTAGAATAATTAATGTTCATTTAACTTTGATCTTTTTGAAATGTGAAGAGGAATAATCTAATAGAAACTCAAACAAATTAGTGTCAGCAGTGAGAACAGCTTCTAAACCCAAAACCTTTTCATTAAACTTGAAACCACATTTCAGGGGTTACAGTTCTAAGGTTCTACTGGATTTCGTTTAAGGCAAAACTTCATAACACAATTTATTTTATATAAAAGACAAACCCCACAGTTGTTCCTATTGCTAAAAAAAATATACATATTCACTGTTACAGCTATTAGGGTGTTATGTAGATCAAGTATTCAATGTCATTTTAATACAGACTCACTGTCAGTTAGACTATTAACTGACAGTGAGTTAATAGTGCAAGACAACTGTGGAAAACTCACAGAGCACTGATTGGCTATGAACTGCAACAGGTTGGGGATGGCAGGTGTGGCGTTACACCAGCCTCTACACAGACATGCTTTCTCTTCAAAACGACTTGAACAGTACAGGAGCATTTAGCACCAAAACCAGAACTTCAAACCCAGAAAGCATGCTCATCCCGATGCTCAGATTCTTTCTCTATTTGCCGTTTGACCTTGTAAAAGACAAAGACCACATTAGATGACTGGCTGGTTAAATGCCAAAAAGAAATGTCAGCAACATAAAAGGTGGAGAGTAAAATGATTACAGTTAGTCCACACATTCAGTACTCTTAAAGGTGGTGGACAAAAATCTATATAAAAAAAAATCACCAAGTTCATTTTTCTAGGATGCCCGAGAATTTGTACACTCAGAGCCAGACTGACTCAGACCCTCTGCACACGGCCTGGCCTCAATTCCAACAGGATGTAACAGAAGAAACTCGGAACAACTCGGGAAATTCCAGAGCAGTTAAAGAAGTGGCATTTAGCATGCAGGAAACTCACAACTCACTCTTTTGTGGAGAGTCAGGGGGCTGCAGATGTGAATTAGCTTTACTCTTGTGCAGCACATCAAATGGTGACACTTCTGTTGGAGCTGAACATTGTCACTTTTTAGATAAAGCTCATTATCTTGTGAGACAACTAGTGACTCCACCAAACAGTGATCAGCAGTGTTCTGTTGTTGTGTTCTCAGTCAGAATTTGGGGCCCCAGAAAAGTCGGAGCTGAGAAGGGCCAGTACTATGTAAAGGTTGGGAGTGGAAATCCCTGAGAACTGAGTGGAGTCACGCCGGGCATGTGCTACGTGAAAAGGGCCAGCGTGACCAGTCCAGGGCATACATTCAATGATAGAGAGAATATCTAAAGTGATAAAGTTTTTTTTTTTTTCAGCGTACGTAAACATCCAATTTCCACCGTAAATGTAAAGTTTCCATTTATATATGCTTATTAACTATTCCCAATGAATGTTCAGCCATTATTCATCTTGTCTGACCTGTGAGCATCTATTCATATTTAAATAGCCTATATGTTTATCAGGAGCTTAGCAGTGATTTGGTGCTCAGTCCTACAGGGAGGCCCAGGAAGTTGGAGTGCATTCAGAAGCCGAGTCCTGCCATGTGTGCAGAGTGAATAAGTGCCCTTATTCATGTGAATTGAGGCAAGCTGCCAAAGCAGCAGGGTTGCTGACATAAAGACGTGGTAAAAAAAAAAAAAACACAAGCAAGAAAGAAAAAACACACACAGTGTCACATTTACAGAGTTGCAGCGGGGCGGTATAGCAAATTCTCTTGTTTTTCTTCCAGTCGAAGCCTGAAGAAGCAGCAACAATGACACCTCAGGAGTTTCCAAACTACTCTGATAGGATGAGCTTCTTATGATGAGTCTGTTTTCCAACCGATCCCCTTGGTTCAGATTTAATGTCCAACTGGTTGTATTTAAGGACTTGCATAAAAAGCTTAATTTTGTGTGTGTTCATGTTTTGCTGTTCTTGTTGCTTGAATGCAATGTATGGGAAACAGCGCTCTCTATAGGTTCTTAGAGCAAAGCAAATTAAAATGAGCTCCATAACTTCCATTCGGATGAGACGATTTGCTTACAAAGATTTTAGAATCCATAATTCCAGATGCAGTGGAAATTATGTTTTCAGATCTGTGTGTTTTTATTCCTGTTTCATTTATTGTTCTTGGTCATTGTGTTTAATTTTGGATATTTCAAATGTCTTCCAGTTCCAGCGTGAAGTGTTCTTTACAAAACTGGTCTTTGAGAAAGCAAACTTACATTATTATTCCATTAGCAATTTATTACTTGAAAATGGTCTCAAAAGCAACAATGTTGTCATTTATCGCATCAACTTACTGTATTGTGACAGGCCTATCCAGAAAGCTATCAATCCCGGATGCATTAGCATAAACAAAAATCAAAACAGATTTTATGAGCATTAAGATAATGACTGAGTACAGAAAGCTAATTGCAGTCCTAAAACAAATCACTGAGAATGAGCCAACTCTCACCTCAGAGTCTGCTGAGCCTGTTGCTAGGGAACCCATGGTAACAGTTGTGGAGGGTTGAGCTGGTGACGGGTTAGGGCTCTCTGTCACAGCACAGCTAATTTCCATTTCTGTGTTCCAGAGCATCACTTCCACTTCACCCTCGTACAGTAACAACAGCTAGAGAGCGGCCAGTAAGACAGACTGCATGACAGGACCAACAGACTAGCTCTACAGACAACGACACAACCACAGAGACTCCAGGGTAAAGCTGCAGTTTAGCACTGAATTCCACACTGTTAAATTCTAATTCAAGTCTGATTGACCAAATTTCAGCTCCACCAGCGACACCTACATTCCCAATTTTTTTCTATTTTATTGGCCTTTTTTTTTTTTAGCATTTTTCACTTCCAATCAGGGCCTGAGCAAAACCATTTCAAGGGCCACAAATGCCCCCCGTGCCACACGCTAGACACCCCTGCTGTCGTGATGTTAGTTAAACTTTTGTAGAACATTTTGATGGAAAACGGAATTTTGCCGTTTCATGCAGCTGAGCACTGAGCCAGGCCTTTCCTCACGCTAAGATCCTTTTTACCCAGATCTTGGTTCTGCTAGTTGATTTCATCTAACAATAACTCTATATTCATATAAAATGTCATTAATGACGACAGATGACGGGAAAAGCTTTTCTATCCTGAAAATCTTTTTATGTCTTTTCGGTGACCACATAACAATACACTCCTTACATCATATTAACTATAATTCTCTTGAGCCGCAGTGACATTCCGCCCAGAATCTTCCAATAACCGATCAGAGCAGCACAGCCCTCATGTCTGATGGCACGTGTATCATTCCAGCACTTTCTCCTGGGGAGCTGCGTGCGTCACCAGGTCGTTCTTCATACACAAGGCTCCAGAGGGCAGTAGCTCTGCTCGTCGTGACTGAGTGAGACGGCCTGAAGGTGAAGCATTTACAGCCTCTCTGCTACGCGGAGCGGCACCAGAATTCATTTCAAAGTACACCATGTGCTCAGCTCTCACATATGCACACGTCTCTGTGTGCTCCACGAGGTAAAAACAATCCGACGGTGGTAACGCGGCGTTCCGCTTCAACCTACTGAAGATTAGGCTGACCTGACAGAGCGAGGAGGGAACAGAACTGTAGATTCAGCACTCACCTCCTGAATCTGCTTCAATACACAATATGACCTTCAGTTGAAAAGGAGTTTTGTTTCTTTTGTCCACTGTTAATTGTTAGAACACTGAATTTAGTCATTTCCTGATTTGCTGTTATTAAACACAACTGAACCACAAGGCAAACAAAATCAGTTCCTTCAACAGATTTGAGTTATAAACAAAGGTTTATAATGGCATATTAAGCCCATTGTGGATGGAAAAAAAGTAAAAAGTAAATTTCCGTCAAAACATTCATTCATTATCAGATTCACTTGCTAGAAAAAAAAACATCTGAAATTTCTGAAAAAGTTTTTTTCTAGAAAATTTCAGAGATTATTCACAAAATTACTCCTCCTTTTTTCTATCTAAAATTGTCTTAATATGCTGTAGTAAACATAAAGTAGCAATAAACAGACATTATAAAGTAGACTGCAGCAGACTCACCCGTTCATGGGGCCTCCATGCTCCAGTGTGTACACCTGTCTGGGGTTTAGCAGGTACCTGAACTTTCTGAGGACTCTGGAGGAAAACGACAACATGAAGAAACATGGATTAGGACTTCTATACACAAATATTAGCTCAGATGTAAATGACTGGGCTCATATTCAATTACAGGAAGGTGGTTCGATGAATTGTGTGAATTGTTGGATGTGCGACATTTTGTTGCCATCAGATGCTGTAGTAAATTTATTGTAGATTTAATGATGAAGTGAACACTAACATTAATACATTCATAGTTTAGCAGCAGTGGGTAGTAACTAGTTACATTTACTTAGTTATGTTTACTTGAGTAATGTTTTGGAAGAAAAAAAGATTACTTTTATTAGTAATTGCAGTAGTAGTTTTTACTTTTACTAGAGTAATTAAGAACTATCTCTACTCTTACTTGATTAAAATTTCTGAACTCTCTACACACTTTGACTAACTTTATTGAATAGAGCATTTTTGTTTTAATCCAAAGTGCACCTGACCCAGACTCAAATTTACAGTTTCTGTTGAAGTGAGACACCTCGTTTCTACACCATTTTTGTTGTTCTAACGTTGTTTCCTGTGTGCTGAGCCGTTTGTTCCATTTGCAGATCAATAAAACACAGTAAACGTGACATAATGTCACTGGAGGAACTGCTCTGTTCCTACACACACATCACCTGAGGAATACTGTCAGTTTCACAGGTTCTATTTAGAAAAAAGACAGGATTTGGAAAGTTTTTCTCCCTGAATTTATTTTACTGTTACTTTATGTATAGATTATTTCAACAACAGTCCCTAAAATAACAAAATTTGTGCACAAAAGTATACTTTTCTCCATTTGATGACATCTTCAGTTACTCATCAGTTAAGTAGCCATTATACAAAATACTTTTTACCTCTTTCCTGAATAACTTCTTGAACAACTATTTTTTATTTTCATTTGAGGAAAAGTACATTGAAGTTGTCCCACTCTCACTTGAGTCAGTGAGAACTCTTCCCCCCTCTGCAGTCTGGGTGCAGGCAGGGTGGACAGAGAGGCTTCAAGCTAAGCCCATCCTGTGATTCAACAGCTTTTTGATCAGTTTATCAGTCACTTTATTAGTCTTTGGTTCAGTTCATTGATGTTAATGAACATAGTTTTTTTTTTTTTTTCACAGCCCACACACCTTCTCCCCCCTCCACATACTAGTCTGCATTATGGCTGAACATCTCAACTATGGTCTCTTTTCTTATTTGTTTATCGATAGATTACACAAACTTATTAGCGTCCTATACATGGTGCATAATTACACAACTTCTCTGACATTCTTTTTTTTTTTTACATACAAGTAGTTGTATGTAAAAAAAATTGTATACAACTATACAAATAGTTGTATGTAAAAAAAAAAGAAAGTCAGAGAAGTTGTGTACAGAGAGAAGAAAAAGAAGAAAAAGAGTGAATGGGGGAGAAGTTAAAAATAATAAGAGTAATTTATCTGTCTCTTTAACTTAGTGACATGTTGATTAATTTAATTATCCTACAGATTCAGAAAGTAACTTTAGTCTCTTTTGACCAAACCGAAACACAAACTTCGTTTGGAAGTCTTGTGCTTCCGAACGAAATTTGTTTTTCCTTGTTTCACTCCAGATAAATGAAGCATTCCTCCTTCACCAGCCCAGCAGGTTGTACAATATGCCACACATTTATAACTCCTGATGCATTACTGCACTGGACTGTAATTAATGTCAGTTCATTAATTAGATGCCATTCATTCGGGTGTTGGAAGGTGAACTTTGACCCCTTTCTCAGGTATTCTGCAGCCTCTGACAGGTTTTCTTCCAGGAAAAGTATTACGACTAAAACTGCTGTAATTTATTATGGTCTCCTCCACCTAACAAATGATTCAGTGTGTTGCTCGGTAATTTTCTTTTCTTTTTTTTTTTTCTGAGATTTGCTGTCAATTTTTTTTTCCCCTAAAGGGCAAGCACTTATTTAAATGTCATGAAAATTTCACAGATAAAAATAGAACAACTGTAGTCCTGGTAAATTTCTTTTACTCTTATTTGGCTATTGATAAAGAATAATTGACTTTCTCATTGTACAGTAAGAAAAAGTGTGTTGCTGGGGCAACACGCCTGCTTGAAATAAAAGCAGCAGGTTCTGATTGGTCATGATTGCTGGGAGCTATGTGGCAAATGAGGCAAGAATAAAAGACTTTATTTCCACCACTCCACCTTTAAATGTCAGCATTCGGAGCCGCAGCAGGAAGGAGCAGCTGCGACGCGGTCTGGGAGGAAAACCTTTTGATGTGACCTTGTCGCTCACTGGTTCACGACCTTTGTGGACCAAAACACACTGACATCAATCCATCTGAGGCACAAGCAATGGCCAACTCAGCAAGTGGAACAAAACAGCTAATAGTAGCTGGAAGGTCTAACATAAAACCTGTTAGATCATTTTTTTAAATGTTAAAGTGAAACATCAGCTGGGCTTGTTTTCACCTCTGAAAATACTTTTTAAAAACATAAGTTGCTCTCCTTCTCATAGCCACACAGGTAAAACCCTCATGTTCATGTTGCGTTTCAAGATGGCTCATTATGACATGTTAATAATGGATTGAATAGTTGTAATGGCTGAAAAATGTGCGAGGAACAGAGGGCACAGATACCGGAAATGAGGGAGTTGCTACTGTATCAAATTGAGATAGGAAGAATAGAAAGTTGCTCACTCTGAGATAAAAATAAACAATTAAAATAAAGCTTCCAGTCCAGGGGGTGGTGGGCACGGCAACGCCCCCCCAGTGCCCCACCCATGCCACTGGGCCTGCACAAGTCCCTCCTCCACAAGGAACACACACACTCGCACACACACGCAATCCAACTAACGGATGTTCAAAACTTCAATCTCATCAAATTTTTGTAACCAATTAGTCACACTTTCCTTGAAACAGTAAGCATTAGCTGACCTCTCTCTGCCAGGACGTGTGCTGCCTCTGACGTTCTGCATATTTCACGTGTTAAAATGTATTGTCATGTTCTACCTTAATCTGATCTCACTGTATATAAAAACACAGTGTCAATTCCACAAAAACCAAGTTCAACAAGTGGATTTGTTAGGAGCTTTTGTCATTTATTTATGGTACATATTTTTATTTTATTGTCATTATTTGGTGTAATTAGGTTTTTAATAAAATTTATTTTAAATTTATTTAAATGTATTTATAAAAATTTATGATTATAAATATATTATTTATTAATGTCCTTTTTGTTAGTATTTGTTACAGGACAATTTGTTTTTTGTCAAATTAACCAAATTTTGTTGATTATAATTTATTTGTAATAGTAGTAGCAGAAATGGAAAAGCATCCAACACTAAAACTTACCAAGTATTTATGATCTAGTTTCTAGTGCAAATTTCTAAGTACACTTTGAATATAGCAAAACTAACTGACAATGAACTGTTCAGAAATATATAGGACATAGTTTGAAGCCAATAATTCCTTAATATAGATAAAAAGTATTAGTTCACTTTGCAGATCATTTTATTTACAACATGGAAAACAAAGCATTTGTTTCCCTGGCAGATTACTGAACCTATTACAAGACATGTTCATCCATATTAAGGAATTATTGGCTTTAAACTATTAGTTTGGTCTTATTTCAAATGTAATAAGACAGTTGTACTAGAAACTAGTCAAAGATGACCTGATAAAATTTTGTGTTTTTGTGGTGAAGGGGTTGAATACTTTATATATGCACTGTGCCAGCGGTCACCAATAAACTGACATGTGAGATTTGGAAACATGGCCACCGGTGATGATGTCAAACTCACCGCTCCCCCTGCCTCCCTCCACTCTTAGGATTGACCAGGACCAGAAGGGGGTGTGTTCCTGGGAGAGGGGTGATCTGCAAGCAGGAAACACACACTCTGCTGTTTAACCTGCTACCTGCCAACCGCTGCACACCAGTGTGAAGATGAGTACCTGCAGTGCCTGTCTGTCTCCAGGAGGGAACTTAAATGTGCCTCCTGTAGACACGAGGGACCTGGCGTCATCGGGGCTGGTGTTGGGAGTGGACGTGCCCTCCACGGGCTTTGCCGTGGAATGACGATCCTGTGGAGAACAGAAGAGCTGATGGACTGAGGAGGAAATATTAAATGGGTCAGCAGGTGCCCGAGTCTTGATTTAAGGCATGAAATCTCCAATGATGAGATAAACAGCATGCATATAATCAATGTGTCATTGTTGGAGGGGATGGAGGAGGTTTGACAGCAGAGTCCAGATATAGAGCCAACAGCCTGCGTGAAATGAAAGGCAGGTGGTCACAAGTTCCATCCTGAGAGGTTAGAGGAAAGTTGTGATGGCTGCAGCTGTTTAATGCTGCTGAGGCGTTTACTTTGAACACTCACCGCTGAGCGGACTGGCACAGTTAGACACTCTGAACTGAAAAAACTGTTTTTTGAACCAACTTTAAAGAAATACTCTAATTTGCTCTGACTAATTGCATTTTGCTTAAGCTTTGACTGATTTGATTTTTAACCAAGTCAGAGTTATACTGGGAAGAAAGTCCTGCAGGAGTTTGGAGCGTCTCCTCACACTCCTGTTTTTTCTACACTGAAAAAAGAAACCAGGAGGTTCAAACTTTAAAAAAAAAAGTCAATTAAGTTAAATTGTAACAAGTGATCAAACCAAGTTTATCCAAGTAAATATACGCTCAGTTGTCATAAGTTGTCATGTTCAACAAATGTAAAAAATATAAATGTAAATTTTATCTGACTAACTTGATTTTATGTAACAAATTGACCTGTTTTTTTAAGTTGGGGCTCAGATCTTTTTCTTCAGTTTATGGTCTGAATTTTGCACTCTGAGTATTTCCTATTTGTCCCCCATTTGTTCTCTGTTATTGATGCTTTTTGATAAACAACATGACCTGAATGGTGAATTAGTCACCACAGAACAAGATTGCAAATTTTGTTTTACAGCACTCCTGCTGGAGAGAATATGAAATGGTCACATTATTTGTGGCTGTTTCTACGAGTTTTTATTGTTATGTTTTGATTTTGCTTTTTGTTTTAGACTGCTGGACTTGAGTTCAGATTTTTTTTAAAAATTTTAACATGAGGAAATCAGAATCTGCCCCTGACAAACACATGTTCATATTTTATCAAATAACCAAATCAATCAAACAGCTGCAGCTGATCCAGAATGCTGCTGCTCGCGTTCTCACTAAAACCAGGAAGATAGAGCACATAACACCAGTTTTAAAGTCCCTACACTGGCTCCCTGTAGCTCAAAGAATAGATTTTAAAATACTGTTGATAGTTTATAAATCACTCAACAGTTTAGCACCACAATACATTAAAAGATCTGCTGTTGTTGTATCAACCTTCCCGACCTCTCAGGTCTTCTGGTTCTGGTCTGCTCTGCATCTCCAGAACCAGAACCAAAGGAGGAGAAGCAGCTTTCAGCATCTATGCACTAAAAATTTGGAACAAATTTCCACAAAACTGTAAAACAGCGGAAACCCTGACTTTCTTTAAATCTCAACTAAAAACACACTTGTTTAGAATTGTATTTGAAATGTAATATGTAACAATGTATTGTTTATTCTATGTTGCATGACTTTGTGTTTTTGTGTTTATGATGTAAAGCACTTTGAAATGCCTTGTTGCTGAAATGTGCTGTACAAATAAAATTTGATTGATTGATTAAAGTTTTTTTAGTCCTCCTTTCATGATATACAGCGGAACGGTTCTCACCAGCACCACAGGACAGATGTATGACGGCAGCAGGGTGTGGTCCTTCAGGCTTCCTCCATCACATTCAGGCTTCACACAGGACGCACACTTGTTGTGGTACTGCAGTGGGCAGGAGAAGGAGAACCATAAGGACTGTAGGCGTCTTCCATCTGACACTCTGTGTTAAGTCATTCAGTCAGTCAGAGTGACAGCATGGCTGCTTGGTTTATCGGCCACGGAGGGCGGATGAAAACGCACCGTGCTGAAGCAGGAGCAGGTGTTTTGTTTGCTTGGGCTAAACTTTTACATCACATCACAGACAACAGTGTCACCTAGTGGAACCAGGACGCAATGACACATATGAAACACAGGTAGAGATCAAAATAAAGATCACCTTTAGCTCTTATGTTTGTTTTAAACATAACAAAACAAAGTAGATTTATTTGCTGAACATGACGATGAGCTCAATGACTCTGGTATGACCCTATCCTGTCTCCATTTCTGAAAATATCTCATAAACTGAGCTCTTCAGAATTTATTGCCACTGTTACATCATCCAGCTGTACGTCATGGTGGAGCCTCTGTCCTGTGCTGGAACCAAGTGGACTCTTGTCTCAGCACTAAATTCTCTTCAGCAGTTTTATAGTGTAATTAATGCACAAATGAGCTAAGAATACTCTGCCAGTACAAGTTAAGAACTCATCATTATCTTCATTTTAATTATTAGGTAATATTGGTACCGAAAATCATCATTGAAAAACATCAGTGAAGTTTTCCTCATGAAACCAACAAGTTTAAATTTGAATTGGAAAGATGACTAAGCTGAACGCCAGAAGTAACGCTGCTTACAGTCTGCTACAAACCATATAAGGCACACAGAAGAAGAATCTGCAAAAACTATGGAGACCCAGGCATCTCCAAAGTTTGACCATAAGGAATTCTCTCCATTTTTTTAAATTATCATGTTAAATACACAAACAGATTCTTAGATTAAAAAGTCATGGTTTGCGATTTTTTCCTCATAGTTTTTTTTTAATTGAAGTGGAGTATAAAAATGTGATGTGCAAAATTTTATCAATTACATTTTGTGTTTTTGACTAAAAATGTATCCTTACTGACAGCAAACAATATATAAATATATACAGTACAGACCAAAAGTTTGGACACACCTTTTCATTCAATGAGTTTCCTTTATTTTCATGACTTGACATTGTAGATTCATACTGAAGGCATCAAACTATGAATTAACACGTGTGGAAATATATACCAAAAAAAAAAAGTGTGGAACAACTGAAAATACACCTTACATTGTAGTTTCTTCAAAGTAGCAACCTTTTGCTGTGATTGCTGCTTTGCACACACTCTGCATTCTCTTTATGAGCTTCAAGAGGTCGTCACCTGAAATGGTTTTCACTTCACAGGTGTGCCCTGTCAGGTTAATAAGTGGGCTTTCTAGCCTTATAAATAGTCATGAAAATAAATAAAACCCATTAAATGAGAAGGTTGTGTCCAAACTTTTGGTCTGTAATGTATTGTATATATTTTTTTTCCCTGACATAAACTGAAAATGACCAGTACCTGTTGTACTACTTAAGAAATAAGAAATAAATATACAGTATTTCTGTATATACTGCATACAGTATTTCAAAAGAAGTACTCTGTATTTCTTATGAAAGAAATACAAATGACTGTAGTTGGTGTAATAATACTTGCTATAAGAACCATGAGATCAAGGCATATTCATATGTTAGAGTGACCTCGTCAAAGTTTAGACTGTCCTGTGTGTGCCTCTGGGTCTTCTCTTGTCGTTGTATCAGTCTTCAGACTGTTTGGTCTGCTCTGGATTCCCAGAACCAAATATGGAGAAACATTGTTCAGTTTTTGCGCTCTTCTAATCTGAAACAAACTTCCAGAAAACTGCAAAACTGCTGAAACACGGTGTTCCTCTAATTGCAGACTAAAAACCACATTTGTTTAGAGCCATCTTTGATTAATAACAACATAATAAAAAAATCACCTGTGTTTCAAGCCTTACGTTTCCACTGCAATGTAATCAATTTTCCTCATTTGTTGTTTTACTTTTCTTGGCTCATGTAAGGCAGTTTTTTTTGGGGGGTGGTAGCATGGCATTGTTAAAGGTGGATAACTAATTTTCTGTTCTCTAAATAAGCAGTTTTGCTTTGGATATTACACAAATGCCTTTAATGTTTATTACACTTCAACATTTTCACAAATTTCTCTGAGTTGCGCCTATATGCCTCTGGGTGGCATTGGTCATTCTCCTTTTTATCTAATTCCGCCTGTGTTAAAGTAGAATGTGGCAACTGGCTCTTAAAGTGCAACATGGTGGGAGACTCACCGTGGCTTGACACCAGACACAGTGCAGGCCCGTCAGGCTCTGGTAGCACTTGATGCTCCTGTAACAGCGCTCGCACTTCAACGGAGAGTTCCCTTCTATCCAAACATGATGCATAACCTGGAGGAGAGCAGAGACAGTCACATTTCAACTAATTTCTTTATCGCAAATTTTATGGTTTCAGGACTCACTGCATTTTGGAGCCATATGGCATCAATCAATTTTACGAATGGAAATTGAGTTGATATTATACAGTTTCAATAAATCCCATTGGTCCTGTCAATAAACCTGGCAAAATAATACTATAATCAGTGTTTTGTTACATAGAGGATCCCAAACCAATTTTAGTTAATCTGTAGCCAGACTTTGCGATCAACCACAACCAACAGCAGCGCTGTTGAACTTAACCAACAGCAGCGCTGTTGAACTTAATGTAACAGTGATTCAGAAACATCTGAGACCCAGGACCTTGAAAAGCAGGTCAGTTTATGGTTCTTGAACCATCAGAACAAACTTGTTCTCACGTTGTGTTTGCACTTACATTGGTGTGCTTGCGGGACTTGGCGTAGGTGCTGATGCAGGCGGCGATGTCTTTGGACACACAGCGTTCGTGCACCGTGTATTTGCATGCTGCAGGACGACAGGAAGCCGCTGAATTAACCAGGGATTGTTCTTCACAAACGCAGATCCAACATGGCTGGGAGGTAATTCAATTTACAGCTGACCACATTAGCAATCAGTTCAAACAGTAAGTGAGTGCATGCATTCATAGGCCCTAGGGGCACTGCCTGGGAAACTCAATAATGGAAATACACATAATCACATTGCTGATCCTCCTCTAGTGATGGTTGCAAGGATGCATAATTGAAAGCAACAGTGAGTCAAAAGCATTTAGGCACAAAGCATAAAATACTTCGAATTATGCTGGCTGCAGGAAGTGAAGGAGATAAAGATGGAGGAGGAGATAAAAAGTGGAAGAAGATAAGAGGCAGCGGGAGATGCAGACGGTCAGTGACGGGGAGAGAGGAGGCTCACTGGAGCAGCAGAGGCCCTGCTTGCGGACGCCCAGCAGCATGGCCTGGCAGTAGTTACAGAAGGCTGGTTTGTTGAAGTGCTTGAGACGCCAAACATGCTGCCCGTCCTCCTGCACATTCTGCCATATCACAAGAGAACACATAATCATTTCAGCTCCTTCTCCAGGCATTCAACACTATCATGTAACATCTGGTCAAGTTGAACAGAGACTCCAAAACCAACAGGATGCAAGGTATCACTTTAACATTTTCTTCTCATGTAACGGAGCAAAAATCTGGAAGAGTTGACACTAATAAAATTAATAAACTAATAAAAATGTTGAGTCATTTTAGAAGTTTTACATTCCAGATGGCAAATGGCTGACAATGGAGATAAATCTGTTGTAAATGTCATATTGTTTTATGTCTTTTTGGGACATAAAACAATATGACAATGGGACAGTAAAATGTACCGCGTCCATGCCCAACAGGACCAGTAAAGGGATGGTAGTGAGGCCTCCTCTAATCCACTCCTCCAGTGTGACCGTCCCGTCTCGGTTAAGGTCGATCTCCTCCATCATCTCCTTCAGTATCTGAAACAAGCAACATAAATCCACTTATTTTAATTGGTTAAAGTCAACTTTGTAATTGCCTAATGCACCCGAAAATTCTCTGGAGTTAGTTTAAATTAATGTTAGCAAAACCTTGACCGAAGTCAAGTTGTATTCACTCATCTTTTTCAATTAAATCCAATGTTAGGATTTACAGTGAAGCATTATGATCCCCGAATGCTGGAATATGGTGAGGCTGATGGGATTTGATGGGGATGAATGGGACTGAGGGGGCAACACTGGAGGAAAATCTAACAGAAGCTGCAAAAAACCTGAGGCTGGTGTGGAGATGAATCTTCCATCAGGGCATACTGCCAGAGCTACAAAGGTTTGAATCCAAAAATACTCATGTGTTAGAGCAGCCTAGACAAAGTCCAGACAAGACAAGACGTAAAAACTGATAGTCACAAATGTTTTCTATCCAATCTGACAGAGTCTGGGTGTTGTGAAAGGAGAAGGGAAAACCGTTCTATTCCTAAAGCTGGAGTAGCTAACTTTATAAACAATATGTTTTTACACTGTCTATCATAAGGCTCATGTGGGCCATTACCTTCTTGTCAAGCATCAACTGATGCTTCTACTGGTATTCAGAAACAGACAGAGCCTGGTCCTGCTGCAGTGAGGTGTGTGTTTACTGACCGGCCGCAGCTCTGTTGAATCCCACTCCAGATACTCGGCCACATGGACCATCTGATTGATGATGTGATCCAGCTCCTGGACAAACAAAAACACATGAAAACCTGCACCTTCACCTTTGTCTCCATGCGTCAATGCAGACGCTGCCACCGCTGGGATCATTTTACAGCAGGGCGCAACATTTTCCTCCGTTTATGTGATCGCTTCAGCAAGCGGCTCGCATTAAACCAGCCAGATCCATTAAGAAAGCTCTTATGTAAACATTCAGAGTTCACATGGTGTTCAGGTTTCTATTCCTGGAGCTGCAGGGTGCTCGGGGCAGACACACAGACGCACGCACACACACATACACAACAAACAGAACAGAAGGACAGTGAAGATTATCCACTCACTGAGCTGTCCAGGAGGCCATTGCCGTCTGTGTCGTACAGTCGGAACATGACTGGAAGAAAACAAGAACAGAGACCCCATTAGAAACTGGAGCTTTCTCCTTTGGACTCTGAAGATGTGGAGAGTGGCGCTTCTCCAGCAGGTCCCAGGGACCAGAGCACAGAGATTAGCCCCGTCACACGCCCTCAGACAGAAGTTAGTCGGGTTCAGGAGGGCTTAAGCATGTCAGCGATCGGCCCCATGAGGAAGGCGTTAGCCGGGGCTCTAGGGAGGAAGGAGATGAGGTTCATACATCTAATTATACTGAAAAATTTGTTATTAATGCCTCGCATGAAGCCCACAAACACCCAAACAGTGGACAAAAAAAAATCAAAGTTTGCTGCTTGAATGTAGATCTACCATCTGTCTGTCTGTCCATCCGATTTCTGTTGGTTTGACTGCACTATTTTCAAACAAATCCATCTTTATTTTTGTAGAGAGAAACTAGTATTATGACTGACAAACTTAGAATCATAATAGTATTAACAAAAAGCCTAAATATTGTTGATAATACAAATAGATACAATCAAACACATGTGAAGACAAATCTGCTCTTGTTGTCTGTGCTGTGAATTCACTAAGGTGCTCCAGAACCAGAACCAGAACCAGAACCAGAACCAGAACCAGAGCGACATGAAGTCGCGGCATTCAGCTTCTATGTACCACAAATCTGGAACACATTTCAGAAAATTGCAAAACAGCCGAAACATTGAGTTCCTTTAAACTTAGACTAACACCCAGCTGTTTAGAGCTGCTTTTCAACCATAATAAATGAAACATTGACCAACATATTTAATGTGAATTGTTGATTTTGATGATGTCACTCATCAAATCTTGATATCTGATTATTTGAAACTGGAAATAGTTCAGCCGTTTCTTGCAGGTTAAAATGTTTAACAGCCTTTTTCTCCTAGCAAGAAAGTGGGACAAAAGTAATGAATTATGTGTTTTACAGTAACGTATTTGCTTTGCATTGTATGTCATTGGGAGCCTTTTTAAAAAAGAAATGGTGCCTTGTTTTAAATATTTTATATATGGTACAAAATCCTGAAGACCAATTAGTGCTGGTGCTGTATTTTATTAATTTAATAAAACTGGTTTTCCCAATTGTTGACTCTATGGTGTTTTTCATGACTTTGTATTTTTGTGTCTTAGCTTCTTTGAACTGCCTTGTTGCTGAACAGTACCTTACAAATAAACATGATTACACTTGACTTATTGTACGTTTAATATATCCTCTATTTAATAATCATCTGTCCACTTTATTGGGCATTGACAGAAATACTAAAATATTACAATTCACATGATTTAGGTCGTATGAGTTTTACATAAAAGATAAGATGCACAAAACATTTTTTCCAAATTGAAAGAAAAGGAAAATCTTTGGGCCCTCTCCAAAACTGGGACCCTGGGCTACTTTTTATGAGCTGGAGTGTATGACTGCAAGGTCAACAGAATCAGTGATAGGACAGTGTTCTCTGCATGGAACAGAATTTTGTGGGTGTATTTGATATAGGAAGAAAACTGCCACTTACACTCCAGCTTGTCCTCTGGCGTCCCCCTTTCCAATAGTGAAAGGTAGCAGACGATGTCCTTAAGAAAGACCACCTGAGGGGACGTCTGAGGCGACGGGCTCTTCTGCAGGGAAACTTGCTTCTCAGAGTTGCTCTTCTCTGTTGACGCACAACACAAACCTTCAAAGCTACTCGTGGCATCTATCACTGTCTTCGCTACAATGCGGCCCCTCTGCTTCAATTAATGAGGCGCGTAGAGTGAGAGCAGCAGTAAATTACACATTCGGGCATTAGTGTGACAGCTTCAGAGAGGTGTGAGCTCTACATAGCATAGAGAAGAAACAGAGCTTTGGAGAGTGGGCCGACAAGACATTATCCACAGGACTGGAAGGGGCAGAGAGGCCGCACTACAATACGGCTTTGTGTGAGAGGATGGAGGAAGACTGGCTGCTGCTAAATGCAACAGGTCATGTTAGTCAGCTGCCATTTTATGATGTTAAGAAGTTGTAACTTCTTATTGTTTATGAAATTATTCTTGCAAAGACTTTTGTCGTCATCCGCAACTTTATGTCAATGTAAAGCTGCGGACGCAGCGATGGAAGTCATCGCTGTTTGATGCTACATTTTGAGTCTAAAGGAAGCACCTTGTATTCAAGCTCACCTGACTGGAGTTTTGGGGATACAGCAGTTCTGGAAGAACCAGCATTGGGGGTCAGAGCGTTGCTGGAAGCGACTGAAGGTGATTGAAGGGACCCCTCTGGTAAGGAGAGCGTCGTGGTTCCAGAGCCCGCTGCAATCTGCGTCGTGGAGTGGTCCGAAGTGAGTAGGCCCATCGCAGACAGGATGCTCTTCCCGTTCATCCCTGATCCCATAACAGTAAATATATAAGAGGTTAGCTCCGAGGAGTAAAAGCTAACATTAAATTTTACAACAGCAGTTAGGAAAATTACATTTTCCTAATTTTGGATGAATAGCAGGTAAGATACTGAATTATGACCAGAGCACCTACACAGCATCACTGTTACACTGCCACCCTGTAATCCACAGACAGAATGTACTGCCTTGCAAAAGGATTCATTCCTTCACATTGTTACAACAAATTTCTTTGGATATAATGATGGACCACTTTTCCTTCCTCTACTATATTTTCTCCTACTCCTCTCCAATTCTGCATACTCTGCCGTTTGATTTCTCAAAGTATTGTTCCTTTCCTTTCACAAGCAATTTGCACATGGGCTGTGACCCCTTCCTCAGGTGGAACCCATCAGTGGAGATATTGTTGCCAAAATGTCAAAAATGTTCATGATCTCTTTTTATAGATTTCACTACTGATTCAAACAAAATGCTTCAATGTTTCTGTCCTAAAGAAAACTACTTCAGGAACATTTCTGTCATTAACTTCAGTAATAGAAAATGCTCTTGGGTTACTGCATTACACAACAAGAACACACAACCACCAAGGGAGCCAGCAGGATTCTCCTGGTAAGCTAGTGTCACCATGGAGACACAAGCCAGTGGCCTGTTGTGGTACCTGTGATGGGGGCACAGGCCACTTCAGTCTGAATAGAGATGCCTGCATCAATGGAACAGGCATCTGTGGTCAGTCATTGATTCAAGGAAAGAAAAAAAAAAACAGCAGCAGATGTAACCAGCAGCCAAGAAAGAGTGCAGGGCTTTCAAAAAGGCTGGGCTGAGCTCACCAAAATAAAAGCCCCATTTTGGACTGTTTTTTTTTTTAAGGGCTGCTCAGCTGCCTCAAAGATTGATATTAAAAAGAATGTCATTAGATGTTTTTTTATGATCCTTTTAGATCCATTATAATGGATCTAAAAGGGCAATGAGAAGGTAATTAAAAAGACACACTGAGCTCTTGCTCAGGAGTTCAACAGAACAAAAATATAAACAGAAAAACCAGCAATATAGAAAAATGTTTCCATATTAGGAAAAATAAGATAAGAAAAGTAATGTGAAAACTTGTCCATTCTTTTTTTTATGTGATTTGGAACTAATTGTACATAAAAAGGAAAATATGCATCTATAAGATCACCAGCAGGTGTCAGCATTGAGGTGCCTTCCTTTGAGAGCCTGAACAATAAACCATAGTGAAGCAACAGAAACCTGGTGAAGTCAGTTTCTAGATTCCGTTCATGAGCCTAGAAGCAGTGTGAACGGTCAGTCAGCTCTGACGCCATGTTCACATGACTTCCTCTGAAGGATCGGAGAGCCTTCTGCTCCTACAGCAGCTCAGAGGTGAAAGGGCATTCAGAGCCAAAACAATGACCTAAAAAGATTATTTTTTTTCTGACAAAAGTGAGTTCTTTTGAGCTAAGACAGCTTTTAAAAATAAATAAGTGGTGATTCCCTCTCTTCCCCCCAAAAAAATCATTTTTACCAAAACAACAACTTATTTTAGTGATAATATATACTTTGAGTTCCTTATTTCTTTGTTTTGATCTGAAAAAATTATTTTAATCAACAAAAATTTGGTCAGTCGTTTCCTAACATGGTGTACATGGACACTTTTAGTTCCAAATCACAGCGCGCACCAAATGAAAGCTTCATGTAAAGGCAGAGATTAGAACAGTTTGCTGCTGCTGCACGATGTTCAGAAAACTTACTGAACAAAAAAAAAAAAAAAAAAGAAATGACTTCCCTGTAATCTGGCCCTCCTGGGAAAACATGAAAGTATTCAAGCTAAATTTGGATCTTCAGATTTTATGCTGGAGACTTCACATACAACCCTATGTACCACCCGAACACAGGGATGATGAGTGCCACGTTTCTCACTTTTCAAAACATTTTCTGAACAGAACTAGTTTCTAATTCAGCAGTCCATCTGTGCCCTCAGCCACTCTGCAGGAAGCAGCAGACTGGAGCTCGGGCCCACGCAGCACCCATGTGGAAACGCGGAGCCAGACGGTTCACACAGAGCACTGAGATGTCTGTCCTCATATGTACTTGTGCCCCGGTCACTGCAGAGCCCGTGACTAATCCGTTTTTGGTGATAAAACCCACAGACATGGGTCACTGCTCATCCATAGTGCCTTTCAAAAGTATCTGAGCTTTTCCACATTTTGTCTTGTCACAACCACAAACGTCATGGGTTTTAAGGCATAGCTATGGAAATGGAAGGAAAATATCACATCAGCTGCATTTCTATTGATCACATAATTGTGCAAATTGAAATCATGAAACTAAATCCAGGTGATCAACAACCAGATGTTGAAAGATGATAGTACAAATGGGAACTATCATGATATGGCCATTCAGCTAAGCTAATCAGCCAATAAGCTAATCTATGTGGCAGATACTGTGGCTGGGAGGAATTAATATCAGACATAAGGCAGAAGATCATGGTCTCCATGGTGAAAGAGGTGGTGGAAGCATCATGCTGTGAGCATAAAAATGTTAACCATACCATACCATACCAAATTTATTTATAAAGCACTTTAAAACAACAACAGCTGATACAAAGTGCTGTACATAAAATAGATTAAAAACAAATAAAAACTCTTATAGTTTAAAACAAACAAACATACAATGTAAATCTAGATCTCGCTGGAGTTGAAAGCCAAGTAAAATAGATGGGTTTTAAGATGAGTTTTAAGACGGGTTTTAAGACGAGCTTTTTAAAAAAAAAAAAAAAAAAACGATGCAGAAGAGATTCCTTTTCCTTCCACTTCCTTTCATGAAACCATGTCATGTTCCTTCCACTTCCCCAATATACACTACTTTATCAATCATATTAAATCCTAACAACGTATATTGATTTTTGTTTTAATGTTACAAGATGTGAAAAACTGTAAGGGGTTTAAAATAGCACATATGCATTTATTTGGATAGCTATGAGGTGAAGGTAAGCCCAGTGACTAGAAGTAAGATAGACTAATTTGCAAATGAAGTTGACATGCAGATTCAGTGTTCACTAGTTCTGACGACAAAATATAATCTAAAGACATGCTGTGTGGTCTCGTGCCTGGGGAAGAAGAAGAGCTTTTGGGGATAAATTGAACTCATCAGGTTAGGAGGAATCTCGCTCTCTTTGGCAGCCCCAATTCTGAGTCCACATGCTGAACTAGAAATTTATTAGGACTTCATTTGGCTCTCTTCCCAAACAGGAAGGAATAATACTGCTTACTCAACACTAATAGCTCCAGAGGTTATTTTAGTGGAAACAAAGTCTCAATGCTTTACCTCAGACATACAACTAGTTACCAATGTGGAGAGGTGAAACCTTAAGCCAAGAACTGAAAACACTTCCTGTAAAATAAATAATTTGGGTACCGAAACTTCAGAACATCAGAAGTTTTAAAAGGTAAACACGATGTGCGCAATTGCAAAATACAGTTCATTTTTACATGTTATCCAAAGGAAGTCAGCCATCAACAACCAGATGGTGTAAAAATATGATTGTGTCCCTTGTATTAACCTCCTGTGATTAATCACATGTCTTTGGATCAATTCCTCTAGATTCACTTCCCCTGATTACTGTCAGAACTGTAAAATCACAAAAATCCCATAAACAGAACACATCTGTTAATGGGACTGCAAGAAGTAGGCCATAAGTTCTTAAAAAGCAATACCAGATGTTGCTTTTTAAAATGAGAAACCATATCATTGATATATATCAGTCTGAAAAAAGATTAAAAATGCTATTCTATGTATTGAAATGGACAGATATATCTCAACAGATATCAATAGATCTCAAGTGGAGTTTTATTAGAAGTTGTAATGCTCCACTGCTGAAAGTTAATCTGTTGAGTTTCTCCTTGGCACTCAGACAACAACTCTAATTGTTACACTGCTGGACAGGACAGGGTTAAAAAAAGTCCTGACAGATCTTCTCATGGTTTCCCAAGAAGTGTACACAAACACAGCACAGACACAGTATCAAGCTGGTTTCTAGTGGTTGGACCTTACAGCTACATAAACATCAGAGTACCCAAAAAGCTGGTTCCCGCCTGAGGCTGGTCCGGAGAGCAGCGCCCCGTCTTGCTCTTGAAGGAGGTGAACAGATGCTGACACAGTTCCTCTGGAAGTTTGTGCTCCAGGTAGGTGTCCATGAAGAGCTGGAAGCCCTCATAGTCAATGGGCTGAACAGAGAAGGAGCAGACATTAGCTGAATTCTTGGCAGAATCTCATGGATGAAGCTCACACCACAGATTTCACATGAAGTTGATGAGGTAAAACCTTGATGAGGTAAAAGCATGATTCAAGATTATTACTGTGAAAAAACAAACAAACAAACAAAATAACAAAAAATAAATAACAGACAGCAAAATGCCATTTGAGTTGAGATGCAGAACGACCTCCTGTCCAGGGGCATTTGGACAATAGCACCAAACCCAACGAATGCCCTGCCCTGTGGCAGGGGCTGGTGGGTAAGACAGGATTAGGTCATGTTAGTAGACAGGATGCTCATGCAGACTGCCCACAAAGACAACACACGGCATGCAAAGAGCACTGGGCTTACTTGGTTCAGAACATCTTGCATCTGTTTAGCAGTGGAGAGCAGCAGGAGGGAGGGAGGAGTGGTAGAACAAGAGAAGGGAGTTAGCGACTTGGTGTGTGTGGACAGTTTTAGTGAAGATGCATGTGGTGCTGAGCATGCAGGAAAGGCCATCACACATTACACTAAAAACACAGCGCAGCTTCATGCCACTTCCTTTCTATCTAGAATGGCTCTGGCTGCTTCTGGGTGAAACATTCACTGCAATATGGGAAATAAGAAAGAACAGTCAGCTTTTATGGTTGGAAAAACATAACAAAGCTTATGTTAACATAAGACGTTTGGGATAACACTGGACCATATTTGGTATTAAAGTGGAAGGTTTTTAGATTTCTAAATTGAGTTTTTAGATTTTACATATCTATCTAAATGTAGATACGTGTAACCAAGATTGAGAAATATGAAAAGAGGTAATTTCCAAATTGACATGGACCTCTCAGGTAGATGGATAACCAGTTGATCCTGGCACCACACAACTGTCTATGAGTTTCCATTTGGTGATGGTGTGTGTGGTGGTGATGGTGTGTGTAGTCATGGTGATGTTCTCATTGTCTAGGCTACAAAAAATGTTAGAGCCACATAAATCATGACCAGCAAAGCATGAATTGAAACTACAACTGTTTTCTTGTTGTGATGCTGTACTTTTAATATCTAAGACAAATAGACATTGTTTTCTTAGTTCGAGAGCTAAATATCAAGAATTTGAGAGAGTTTTGGTAAATATAGAAATATATTAATATATGTGCTGCAACGATAGAAGGAAGCAAGGCATATATTAATCTAAAGTGTTGAGAAACATTTAGGGAATGTTCTGACAACAAAACTAAAGATAAACTTAAGTTTGTTTTCTTTACACAAAAATGTCTGTACAGTGGTGCAATATGGAAGGCCATCTTGACTGTTAAAAGATAAACTATAGTGTGCAGTGAATACTGTGGATAAATCATGTCACTAGTTTTGCTGTTTGGTATTTCATATTTTTAAAACAAATAGCTGAATAATTATCAATGATGAGTAATTATTGATATCAAAACACTCATATCGTGACTAGTTTTACAGACATATCGTACAGCCTAAGTTAGAAGTGTGGCTAAATCCTGTCATGAACAGAAAAATGGTCCCAAACACACCAGTCCAGATCTCAGTTTGACCCCAGAACTCCAGTGGGAGTTAAATGAACTTGCAAAAAGTTGGAAATGCCCCTTAAATATGGTTCCACAATCAGCCATGGGGTGTACTTAATTTTCCCCCTCACACTGTTTCCCTGTTGTTCATCAGGGGAACTGTGTGTGGATTCCACTTGTATATAGTGGAATCTGTTGTGGGTTTTCTATATTTCAGGTTAAATTAAAATGATTTCAGAACTTGGTGATGAATAGATCATTTGCATTGATTCTTTCCCATGATTTCAGTGAAACATGACATGCTGACTGAGTAACCCTCACGTTTACTTCTTGCTTTAATTTTACATGTGTCTACTTAAATCTCTATTTCATAACAAGTTACGATGAGCTGTAAGTGACACCCGTCACAGAAGGACACACAGTAGTGATGATGCTCCTCCCTCTGACCTGACCCCATGAGCTGCAGAGCTCTGCCAGCCGTTATTCATATCTCTGCTTTCTCCTTATTTGGTCAAGCAAACCAGGAGGCAGTAATGTGCTGTCCATCATGAAGAAGCACTGTGGGTTCAGAGAAATAACTCCAACATGCCACCGCAAACACACACACCCCAACACACATGCACACACGCACATATTCACAACTACCTTAGATGTCTTAGAATCTAAGTGTACCCAGATGTAATTGTGAAAATGTAGTCCCTCTGGAAAATGTGTTTATGTCTGGGTCTAACCTTATCCGTGTGAGTGGACTTTTACCCATGACTGCCAGTATGTAAATATTTCCCAGGGGGTCGCTACGACACATTTACATGCTTCATTTAATCTGTTTCATTTTGGCACAGATGCACAGACCTTTTTAGTGTGAAAAAGTCAACGGGAGCAGTTCGAAGGCCTCTGCCATGTTTATGCATTGTTGAATGATTATTTCATTTCTAATGGTTTGAATGTTAATGCAGATCAACTGTGCCGTAAGAGAAAAAGTAATCATGCCCTAAACTTACCGTGGGTCATCAAGCATTTGCACCAATTAGAAATGAGTATTTTACTGTACCAGTTGAAATTCTGAGCAGAAAAAAAATGCTTGATGGAAACATACCAATTTTAAAAAAAGTCACATTTTTCAATGAAAGGTTTATATTGAAATTTTTTATTGGCTCTACGGACCAGAGCTCTGACAGCATCACAGTCGTGTGCCATCCCTAACTCGTCTGTAAAATCACAAACTACAATTTCCCCAAAACACCACATACATAGCTGCTCCCAAGTAGGAGGGGCTTGTTGCTATAACACCTGAATAAGACGCCGATGTCTCCACTGATTAGCTGACTGCGAATGAGCACGAGCACCACAGCTGAATTATGAATATATGCCATGTAACTGTTTATATCTGTTGCTGCTGTAATTTTGAATGACTTATCATGTGAACATGCTTATATCAAGTGTGATTTTAACATCATGTCTTATTGTCTTATTTAAACATCGGAATTGTAAAATTGTGTTTCTTTAACATTAACAAACTATAGACAAAGATTTTCACACACTTGTAATGGAAACGCAGCAAGTGTGGAGAAATTTTGGTTCAACACTTTTTGCTAAATTATCTCAGTTCTGCTGCATGAAAAGGTTTGTTTGAGGTTATGCCAAATCATGGCAATTGGCCTTAAAATTTTATTTCAAGTAGGTTTCTTTCCGTCTTTCTTTTTTTCTTTCTTAATATTGATTTTAATATTCTGGCAGAAAGGTGCATGCTACATTGCAGGTACCAACCTGGTCCAGCTATGTGTCATGTCTACCTCCCCATGAAAGTTTCCTCTTAATTGAACTATTGTCCACTGCGTTTGTATATGGGACACATTTGTAACCACATGTTCCTCGTTTATCAACAAGTTTGACTCATTTTTTCATCATCCAATAAATGTATATTGTGGAGTATAAAGTCTTTCTCCCCACTTTCACTAACTTATTACTCCAAAGGGGTGACTTTGGTAAGGTTGGCTGTGACTTGATGCACACTCCAACTATCTCTGATGAAAAGTAATTGTGGGTTTTGTGGATTTTTTCTCCTGTTTGGGATACAAAACCCTTTCTTAGGAGAGGTTCTGTGAGTACTTGCTCATTTTCAACCCAGTTTGTATTTTCACTTTTCTTAGAATTTAATTTAGATAATTCATTTTAGCGAAGATGCTTTTCAACATTTGGAAAAGCAAGCTTGCTCTGTTGTGGCATATAACGTTCTGATGTTTTTATTTTTCACAGGAAGTGATCCAGTACTTTGTTGAGTTTCTTTGACATTGAAGTGGGCGATATTTAAAAAATAGTTCACTTGTTGGATGAAAATAATTTTTAAAACATTAGTCCTTTCAACTACTGATCTTTTCAACTAATAATATTTTCATCAGGATAATGTAAAATTTTCCTTCTATTTTTTTGAGTATTCAGAGGTGGATGTGCTGGTGTGCTTTGGATCATTTTCCTGCTTCCACACCTGTACTCGAGCTTAAAATGGTGAACTGATGGTGGATCCCTGCAGAATCATCTGGTAAATGGCAAAATTTGTCATCCTTGCTGTTTCAGGTCTCCCAGGCCCTGAAACAGCAAGGCAGCCCTCTCTCTACTACCGCAAATTTATACTGTTCTTTTTTTCTTTTGTTTCTTCTGTTCTTTTTTAAAATGATGTGCTAGTTTGCCTTCCAAAACACTCTTGTTTTGTCTCTCCAGACAGAATATTGTCCCAGAGTACTTCAGTATGATTGATCATCAGTGGTTTTGCCCTGGAACTCTCTCATGGAAGCCATTTTGCCTAGTTTCTCTGTCTTACTGTTAAATATTGAACCCTGACTTTAACTTAGACAAGTTCATCCTTTAGGTGCTGATCTGACTTGCTGGATGATGCGCTCTCTGAGAAGTTTTTGTATTCCAGTTACTCCCAGTTAGTGAGGTTTGCTGGACTTCCACAGCCTTAGAAAAGGCTTAATAAACCGTTTAAAGCTGACTAGTGCCAATTCTAAGGCTTGTGTAGCTGAAGAAAATGTATAGATAAATCAATGTTAATTCATAAATAAATAAAACTAACATTAGTATATAACATATGCTTGATCTGAGACATGGAAGTGGGACAAAAAAGTAAAAACAGATGTTAGAAGGGACATTTTTACACCCCAGTCCTCCAAGGCCGGTTTCCTGAAACTTTTGGATGCTTTCCTGCTCCAAAACACTCAAATCAAAAACTTTCAGGAGTCCGGTCCTCGAGGCCTGGAGCTGCAGACCGGAAGTTCGTCCAGTATTTGTCAAGTCAAGCAGCTTTTACCTGTGAGACTAATGCATTGGAGTGGGTCAGAGGTCAACAGATCAAAGGAAATATAATTTGAGGATTGCTTTGGCTTGAGTCACCAGTAGGTCACCATATTTCCAGGCGTATGCACATACTGCACAGGATAAGACTTGCGTCTTATAAATTGAAAGACTAAAATAATAAGACAATAATGAGACAATATTTTTTCCTCAGTATGATTTCCAGATGGAGTCCAGCTCAGCACTGATCTGCTGACATCAACAGTTGCTTCTGTTGTCTTCAATCGAAAATAGGATGATGACTGAGTATTTTAACAAAGTGCATCTTCTACAGTAAAATGGCTTTTTTTATGTGTTAGAATGAAAAAATGAACTAACAAGTTGTTCACCTTTGCTGGATTGTATTTGGAAAGAACTCCTCCTGCATGGAACTCCTCCAGAACATCCTTCAGCTTCTTTGTAGAGTCTGAGGATGAAAACAGAGAGAAACTATTATTTTTCTCTTCACGGCAGAGGAGTGCTTATCATCTCAATCAGAGAGGTTTCTGAATAAAAGTGAGTAAAGATGCATCCTCTTTAATGAGTCCCCTGATAAACAGGAACATCAGATGAGGCAAACTGCTGAGTCACCCCCTGGTTAGCCAGAGGGGACATTGTGTCCCTCACTTTTATATGCTAATCCTACAGTCACACACACAAACACACACAGCGTCTGTCCAGAACATTTACCATAATGATCTCCTCCTATGATCATGTGTCAATTACAGAGTACAAACAGATCATTATCCACATCAACCATTAGAACCAACCAGAACTAGCTCAGTATCTTAACTAGTTGACTGTCATTTTACACGCTGAAAGCCATTTCTGCCACTACCAGGGTGACTGAAATCTAAAACATGGAACATCAGAAGAGCCATGCTCTCCTCTCCTCATTCAGCTGCTTAGCATTTTCAAAAATCTGAGATAGAAAGATATGTTACCAGATCAGGATATTTGGACTCTGCTGTCTCTGTGGTCTAATTCATTCCTTCCTTCATTCGAACAACATTTTCTAGTTTTTATACATGCAATGGTCTTGATGCTTCATTTTCAGGCTTTGCTAAAGCATTCAGGCAGACGTACTTGTGAAATGATATGGGTTTTTTTGTTGCTGTTTTCTTTTTCAGTAAAACAGCCAGGGAGATTTGAAGCTGGAATTAATAATAATAATGTAGACAAAAACCCATTCGCAAATCTGTGACAGTATAATATGCACATTTATTCCATTCCATTTATTCTGGCTGCAATAAGTACATTTCAAAGAAAGTTTATTTTTTTCTTTTACATAATTACTAAAATGTTGATATATTACTACAGTATGATATGAGACAGATAATCTGTGACAAAAATAAGCCTTTTACAGATTCTCCCGGGGCTACCACTGAATTCTGCAGTCAAAAACAGCCGATCAAAGCCAGGAGGGTCTGAATGTTGTCAATAATGGTACACGGAGAAACCATTTACCGTACCATGAAGCTGTTAATCTGCCATCCTCAGTGGGTCTGCTAACTAGTCTTAGCAAGGGAGAGTGAGTGAGTTGTGCATACACAAGCTGATAGACAGGACTAAGATCCTCCTCCTGGCTATGACTGGTTGTTTTTAACTTATCGGTGTATTTCTGCAGTTACCACTGGGAGAAGGCAGAAGAGCTCAATTTTTCCCCAAATTATCTCTGTCATCACAAGGAGACAGTTTTAACAAATATGTAAAAACAGAAGTTACTTTCTGCAGCTTATAAAATAAAATACAACAAAACTGATTTCCATCAGAAACTAGAAAATAAACAATGGCCGGAAGAAAGCCATTGTTAACAAAAAGTCATAAGACATCAGAGGTGGTAGAAGCTGTTCTGTTCAGATATCATCAGATTTTTTTGTGACAGCCCTTTTACACTTTTCAGATTTTTAATTACAAATGTAAGCATCATTTTTTTCATCACATTTTGTTTCAGCAATTACAGCACTGTTGTGCTGAAATTTTTGCTGGTCTGTCACATAAAAATTCTAATAAAACACCCTGACAATTCTGGTTGTAACTGGACAAGATGTGGAAAGTTCAACCTGTATGAATACTTGTCCAATGCATCTGATCTAATCCAACATTTGTGTTCTGTAGAGTCTGTAAAACTATCATTTGTGCACAACAATGTATTTCTTGAGTAGGACGCTTGCGTGACTCCGTCTATCATCCAACAGCAGCATGTGGACTGATGCTGCTTTGACTAACAAATGTTGCAGACAGCATAGACAGAGAAAGCCACAAACTCATCCAGCAGGCTGATGAGCGGTGTCCTGAAGCACGCTCCAATTCAAAATACCTGGATGTAATCAAAACCTGAAAGGGCTTAATTCATATGTCAACATAGGTGCAGACATCACATCCAATCAGACAATCTAGGATTAGTGAAGGAAAGAAATAATGTTTTTTTTTTCTCTTTTTTTTTTTATCTACAGTGCGCTAACTTTCAGGGCTGAGCATCAATTCAAACTAATTATTAAGTGCATAAACAAAAGTGGACATGTCATGACACGTGATACAACAAAGAAGTAGTACTAATAATAATAATAAACTGATGGGTTTAAACTGATGGGTTTCTCACTCTTGCAGATCAGCTGCTATAACAAGTGAACTGTAAAAACAAACTATTCAATCATAAATCTGTTCTGCATCATAATCTCTTCACGTTTCACTTATGTGGGGAAACGAACATTAGAACAGATGATAAGATTACATACATTAAATTTTAAAAATGATCAATGTCAGTGTAATAAAGGAAGAAAAATCCCTTTAAAGCTGCAGTATGTAACTTTTATAAAAAATATATGTCTCAATCTATAAGTTAAAACTGTCACCGTGTTGTGACAATATGAGACAGGTAATCTGTGAAAAGATATCTATTTCCTCTCTGACTGAAGAAACACACCACTCCTGACCAAAGACAACCAACCACAGTGAGGTTATAAAAGAATCTGGTTAGCATTGGGAGCGCTAACCAGAAACAGCTAAGGTAACTGCGGCAACTGTGCAGCCCGACACTTTTAACAAATATGTATCTTTCTTATAAAAGTGACATACTGCAGCTTTAAGCTGAAAAATATGTGCCATTATGAATCAAATGCAGACTGAGACTTACACTCGCTGTACTTCTGCAGCTGGTTGAACTCTGCCGGGCTCAGACACACCCAGCTCATTTCTCCCATGCTTCCTGAAAGCAGTTCTTTAAGGGTCTCTACACCAAGTGCCACCAGTCCCTCTGTGTGTGTTGGATTGGTGGCGGAGGAGTGATGGTTATCCTCGTATCGCGTTGGGTAAAAAGACAAATGAGAAGTTCTCTGATATCATCCGTGCCGTTTTACAGTTCACAATAGGTCATATAAACAGATGGGGGTTGAAGCTGAAGGTCAATCCTTTTAGGTTGGCATCGATTACCAAAATGTAAAAAACACCAAAAAAGTAGAAAAAAAATATGTTGGCTTCTGGTTCCTTGTGGCACAACAGGAACAATAAAGTCTGGTCAGGTGCAAGTCCACAGATTCATCGGTGTGTAATTACTCCTCATCAGTCAGAGGATAAACGTTTCCCAGCAGGGCTGACCTGGAGCAGGGGCCACAAAAGAATGAAGAAAACACTCCTTAGTAAAGACTACTCATATTTTAGAAAAGGTAACAGGAAAAAGACAAAAACAGAAGAAGACTGTAAAAAGTTGATCCCAGTTCAGACAGATATGGACTATGAAGTGAGGAAAACAGACTGAAGACAGGATCTAAAAACAGAAGAACAGCAAAAGACCAAACAATGAAGCATAGTATCTAACTTATTTCCACATATCTCATATTTCCAGATGGACACTGATAACAGCGTTAACAAGCGTACATTGTTGTATGCACATGACATATGGTAGACAAAGATGTAAAAGTCTACCTACTCAGCACACTGTAACCGCAGACAGTCTCGGTTTTTCTGCTTGCTTTAGTTGGTGGTTTTGTATTTGCATAAATAGTGAGATTTTCATCTTTGTGGTATGTTTGAATCTTTTTATTACAGCTCTGTCCTATTTTAGTCACTTCTTATCTAATTTTCATTGTTATACATCTTCCTGTGGTTGTTTTGTTGTTTTGCATCCCACTTTGCATCTCTTTGATGCTGTCAGGCTGCCTGTCATTTGTTCATTGAGAGCTATTTGGCGTCTCCTTACAGGTGCGTCACACATCCTAGATATGAATTATAATAATTGGGGTTGTGACTCCTAGAGCACTGGACATGTAGCAATGTGTCAAAATAAAAAAAGTGCTTTTTGCATGAATGCTTCACTTGCTCTCACTTTCTTGTTTCTGTCATGTTTGTTATGATATTGAAAAATGTGTTTTATTTGGCTTTAAATATGAAGAAGTGAAAAGCATTTTTTGACACACCGGGCATGTTCACACGTATGTTCACAACACAAACACAAAATCTTACCAAGTATTTTCGTCTAGTTTCCAAAGCAAATATGTTAGTACACTTGAACAAGACAAAGCTGACACGGTAACTGCGGCCACAATCAGACCCAAGCAGGTTGACGAGCCCAAAGCGACCCGGAGGTGCAGAGGAAGAACACAGACGTCGTACATCAGCACTCTGTTTACAGAAGCAAGAATCATGGCCACCGTTTATGGATCACAAAGTAAGAATAAAAATCAAAGACGACATAACTAACAGTAACAGTTGTTTATAGAACATTGACTGCAGCTTCTGTAGATACGTCTGTCTGAGCAGAACCAGGAGCGGTGGGACTGGGTCGGATAGGATACCATGTCAGATTTAAGATCATATTTAAAACGACCTTAAATTTGATTTTTTGAGTGGGGTGAAAAGCTTGCACATTCAGACTGACAAGAAAAAGTCGGATATTTGTTGCATGTTGGCAAAAGAAAAAAATCTGACTGAGGTTGCCTTTGTCTCCTATGTGGACATAAAAAAAAAAATTAGCATTGATTTTGTTAGGTTCTCTGTGTCTCTGTTATGTTTATTTTTAATTTTAAGTTTCCTTTTTTTCATTTTTTATTAACTGATTAAGTAATAAGAAAACAGCTGCTCCAATTTTTCAGCAGTGCAGCTTTCAAAAATATAGAGCAGAAATAAGGATAATTACAACCAAAATACAGTCAAATTATTGTCAAAACAGAGAAAAAAGAGGAATTTAAATGTGAGAGACAAAACTATTGGAGACAAATAACCAGGGCTGCTTCTAAGAACATGTAAAAGTGGGAGAAAAATCAAGGCATTATTGTGCAATCTTACTGGTTGCACACACATTAGCCTCACAGGAGTCATTTACTGGGAAGTTAATAGAAGAGATTTGTCACTAGTGTCAATTCCTCCTCGGTTTATACCGAGGAGGCAAGTCAAAAATATCTGCAAATTAATAGAAGGAGCTGACGTCCAAAGCCATCAGCCTCCTGTGAGAGCAGCAGGTTCCCAGAGAGAAGATGGCTGATGGGATGGAGCTCGGCGCCCTGACCCATCTGGGCCCGGTGTTTTCTCTCTTAATTGGAAATAGGAGGAGTTTCGACCGCTGCCAAAGTATGAGTAGTTCCAAGTGGGAGGAGATAAAAGAATGGGTGACTAAGCTGCATGCACCAGGGGAAAAACAGCACGTTATTTTTAGAAACAAGTCTCAGCTGAGACAAATGTGGTCGGAAAAATTTTATTTCTAACTGATCCGAGCGCAGATTGTTACCAAAAACAAAAACAACAACAAACAAACAAAAAAATTACATTTAGAATTGCAGAAAGGAAAATAATTGTGTAAATTTAATGAAGGGTTATTTCTCTGTTTTCATGGGTTTTTTCCAGCTACATTGAAAACTATTTTTATCTCGTAAAGGGCAGTATTATGTATTTTATAGTGTTATTTTATTGCACAATCTAGTAATAACTTTACCTTCAGTTGTTAATTAAAATATTGTAAATATCAAACACAACTTAAAAAAAATTGACGCTTAGAAATTTAAAGCTTTAAAAGCTTGTGCTCTGTCTGAAACTCTGCCTTATGGAAGTGAACATGGCTCCTCTATAAACCCTTTAACAATGTTTTTAACAGCATTGCACTGAGAAGCAGCTCCTATAAAGACCTCACTAGTTGTTCCATCAGGTGTTTACTAATTGCTGCTGTCTGGCCTGAAGAAGCTGAGTTGCGGGGGCAGAAGCTCAGAAGATAGGAAACTGCAGCTTTGAGGAGGAGCTAGATCCACTCAGGTGCTTAGCACAACTGAGTGATTGGAGGATTTCTCAAACATACATCACAAAAACAAAGAAACACTCCTGGTATGTTTTTGTAGAGGGAATAATATGATGCAACACTCATGAAATTTTACATAATGCTGCCCCTTTAAACGAAGTAATGAAAAAAAAGACTGAATGGGACTGAAGGTCACAAGATCAAGTAACAGAATTAGGACTTAGACTGTGAAACATTTCATTAAACTCAGTAACTCCTGTTCCTTCTGGCAATGAGCTCTGGTTTAAAGGTAAGCACTATAAACTTGACACAATGTGTCTTTGTTCTAATTGAGTTTCTTATATTGAAGAAAGAACTCACAAAAACAGCACTGAACTAAATGAACAGCTATAGTTTGAAACTCTTTAGATCAGAAGTGAAAAACTGAAACTAGTCAAATGTGAGCTGTGTTCTTCCTCCCCAACAGAGCTTGTTTTGGAAATTTAAACTGAATTATTCTATGTCACAACTTATATTTCATAATAAACTGTCATGGTGAGTGTTGGTATAAGATCCATATGTAGCAGGCTAGGATGTAGAGTACATGTTGCTGTTGAAGATTTAATGAAGAATGAAAAAACAAAACATTACAACTAACAACCATGGAGAACACAAGGAGCCAGAGCAGAACAAAAACAAGAGGAACCAGGAATAAACGGGACGTACTGGGACTAGACCAGATTAAACTTGATTAGATGGGAGGAACCAACAAGAAGGAGCTGTGAATGAGTTGTGTGTATATCCGGGAGGTTGTATACTGAAGAAGGAAACAGATGGCTGATTTAAAATGGGTTGCAAGTGTGAGGGGAAAGAGCAGAAAGTTCACTCAGCAGAGAGAGAAAGTGGCACAGGGGGCAAGGGAGAGTACACAGAGGACTAGGAAATATATCTAACATGAAAGAATAACTATTCCTAAGAAACATAATTAAAATAGAGTAACAAAGAATAACTAGGCACAACCATATTAAATTAGCATCACTAAGGAAGGACTGATTAAACTACAACAGAAATGAGATTGATACAATACAAAAGAACCTAAGGCATAAAAAACGATCAAGAATGAAACAATGAAAACACCAAAACAACCAAAGATCCTAACATAAACTACAACACTGCAGCACATTAACACTAATTAACAAAATATCAGTGTTGCACAGGGGCCATACTTTTTGAGAACAAAAAGCTGGCTGAGATTTACCTACCTCGTGACACGAAGATATAAAAAATTTAACAGAAACTCTATTGACTTATTTATTTGGGAATATATCTCAGTTATAGCAGAAATATTAAAGTGACAGAAAAGCTAATCCAGTTTTCTCCTCAGTGAGATTCTGACACTGGGAGGTTTCTGGTTCCTCAGTCAGCAGCTGGTTGCAGACCTGAGGCCAGCAGGTGTCAGTCAGTTCTGGAAGATCTGAACTTTGGTTTGACGACAGAAATATGACAAATTACAGAGATATCGGAGGAACCACAGAGCTCTGTTCAGTTAAAGCCACGTCTTCTTAAGTTGAGATATTTTTCCTCCAACAGGTTCCAGAGGAATCACCTCAAACCAGGTGCTGGACTGGAATTTATTTCAATGTCCTTTGTGAATGTCAGCTCTTCATTTTGTAGGTTGGAACAGCTTTTCATTTTGAAATAAGACTCATCAACATCAATATTTCCACTAAATAAGAGACGAAAATCAATAGCACATTTAATAGAGCAAAAGTGCCTCTGTGTCTCTGAGCTCAGAGCAATATGCCAGAGAGCATCACAACTATTATTTTTAAATATTAGACAATTAATCTAAGCTCACATAATTATGGCGTTAGGAGTCATTTGTTTGTCAGATACTTCCTGAAATATTGTCTGAATGACGTATACTTGCAAACGAGCGAGGTATTAGTCTAATTTTTGTCCTTTATTGAACGTTCAGAAATGACAGTGGCTGCAGTGCGTCGTAACAAAAGGTCAACACAGGTAAGACAAGCCGAACAGGTGACAACTCAAAACCACTCCTACCTTTTCACTCTCTTCTCGAAAGCGTTTACGCACACCCGTTGCCGTGGCAACCGCCTGAGCCCCGCAAGACAGCAGAGATTACGTTAAAATGTAAAACATTCAAACATTTAGTCCGTTACCACATTAAGTTTTTAGGTTTGATATTTATTTTGCGATTATAATCCCTCCCCTGAACACAGTGGTGGTTGATTGGCTAATTTATAGTCCTGTTCACGCGAGTGACGTCAGAGAGACGGTGTTTGAGTCGCCTTTTCATTTTACTTCATCTTATTTATTTATTTTTATTTTTTTATTTACTTATTTGCTTGATTGTTTAAAGAACCGAAACTCA